TGAGTCATCAATGCAAATTCATTATTAGTACCAGAATTGAAATTCCAAAAATGTGCCTTTTTTTCTGTTAGTTTCAGGTAGTTCTTATACTTCTTTTAATAAGAAACAGAGCAATAAAAATGTCCCTCTGGTTAAGGCCAGGCTGTGCTGCCTCCAGAGTATCTTAGGGAAATTTTGTCTCTTACAACTTACTTTTTAATGTTTTCATTAGATTAAAAGAGAAAAGAAGGGAAAAGGCACATCCCACTTGTGTTGAAAAGTGTAAACAATAACCAATAAAAGACAAAACGTCCCCTTTAAACTCTCTAATCCCCCTCACAGGAGATAACCACTCTTAAAGAGTTTGGTTTACATAATTAAGTACAGTGATGAATTACAGGGCCTTGAAAATATAGGACTTTGTGAGTCATACTGATGAAAATAAATGGAGAGAAGGGAGGGCTCCTCAACACCAGATGCCGAGGGGTGAGTAGGGGTTGCTGTGCTTCTGCGTGAGTTGTGAATCAGCACTTTGCATCCATCATGGCACAGATTAGATCAGGTAATCTAATCTAATCGTCGGTGGTTACTACATGGGGATGGGGTGAGAAATGAGACGTTTTCTTTTTTTTTCTAATTGGGGTAACGTTGGTTAACACCACTGATTGTATTCTAGAAATATAGGATCTCCCCCTTCAGGTGTTGTCACCACACCACACCCACCACCAAGAGAGTCTCAGTCCACTACAGTCCACTGGGACAAGACATCTTCATGGATTTAAGTATCGCCCCCCACCCCCAATTATTTGCTAGTTGGAAGAGAAAAAAACAGCGATGATACAGGGGAGAAAATGAATAACACCTTGATGGGGTAACCAGGGTTAACAGTGCCCATGAGGGCGCCGGGCTGGTGCATCTCTGGATGAGCCATCCCAGGCAGGACACAGCATCACCTTGGTAGTGTCCTAGCCAGGAAAGCATCATTTGAATGGAATAGTGAGGAACTGTGAGACAAACCCCAAATGAGTAATGGAATATTACAAAGAGTGACCACTATATTCTTCAAAAATGCCAATGCTATACAAGAGAAATAAAAGCTGTGAAAATAGTCCAGATTAAAATAGGCTCAACAGGCATAAACAACTATACACAGTACTAGATTGCATCTGTGTGCCAGAGGGGGGAAATGTGATCAAAGTTGTTGTTGGGGGCCTCCCTAGTGACGTAAGAAGTTAAGTCTCAGCACTATGAAGCTATTCGCAGCCACTGCAGCACCAGTTCGATCCCCGGCCAGGGAGCTGATCCATATGGCGCAGCAGACCTCTCCTGTCTCGCCCTCTGCTCCCCTCAGCAGTGTATTTCAGTAGATCTGCCTGTTCTGCTCCCCACTCTGTCTCTGGTGAATCCTCTCACCCTCCCAGCACCCTGGCCTGCACCCCAGTTCTTCTATGTATAAGTGCATTTCCACTGAAATACACTACTGAGAGGAGCAGCAGATGAGACAGCAGAGTTCTGCTGTGCCATGTGTGGGATGGCTCCCTGGCCAGGGATAGAACTCATGTTGCAATGGCTGCCTATAGCTTGATAGCGCTGTGTCTTTAACCCCTTCACCACCAGGGAGGCCCAAAAATCTTTTTTTTTTTAAAGAGCTTTATGTAATACCCTATTTGGGCATTATGACAGTGAAGATGTGAATTACTGTTATTATTTATTTGGGTTCATAATCCCTGGAACAATCACAGTATTAAATGAATAACCAAACATAGCTTCAGAACAGCTACCTAAAGGTAGGCTCTCAAATAGCTCGGAAAGGTGCTTCCCTACTGCTCTGGTTAACTCAGGTTGCTCTCCATGCTCACCTCAACGGTAAGAGGAAGAAAAAAATGTAATGACTCAGTAGTGCTTTCTCAGATCCTTGACATCACTCTCCCTCTCTCCCAGTGCCCTGGTTCACCATCAGGAACACTGGCATCTCTTTCCTCGAAGTCTCTTTCCTCCTCTCTGACCTGTAGACAGAAGGCTGTCACTTGTGAGAAGATATTTGAGTTATTTACATGAAAACTCCCCTACTGTACGATAGTATCCAGATCAGCAGCATCAGTGTCACCTGGGAACTTGTTAGAAATGCAAATGATGAGAACAATTAATTAATCTGAATCAGAAACTCCACCTAAATATACAATTGCACCATAGTTTCAAAATCTCTGATGTAGTGTATAAGCAGAGGCAATTTAGTTTTTGATAGTAGCTCACATTTGTAATGTATTGATAACTTTTCTCTTTTGCCAAATGGAATAATAATGTTGGTAATTAAGACTATCACATTTAAAAAAAAAATTCACTGACCTGATTCTAACCAGGACATTGAACATCCTCATGAGATCTGCTTTATTATTCAAGGACCATTTTCCAGGAAATAAGTGTTTGTTGAAAATGACAATCTGTGGGCCTCCCCGGTGGCGCAGCGGTTGGGCACTGGGTTGCAAAGCTGCCCGCAGCCTCTGCAGCACTGGTTCGAATCCCGGCTGCTCCCCGGCCACCGGAGGAGGGTCCCACATGGCATGCCTGCTGTCCGCTGCTCCCCTCAGCAGTGTACTTCGGTCCTTCTGCCTGTTCTGTTCCCCGCTCTGGCTCTGGTGAATTCTCTCACCCTCCCGCCCTTCTGACTGTACCCAGTGCTTGTATAAATAAATAAATAAATCTTTAAAAAAAAAGAAAAGAAAAGAAAATGACAATCTGTTCCAGTGACTCCGATTTTAGTCAAAAGTCTTTCTGTATATGCTAAAAATAATCTTTTGTGATTTTAAGTGTACTTCTACTTGATCTGCCATCAAGGCACATTTATATTTTTCAATTCATTGTAATAACATATATAGGTCGAGGGGTAGCAACTATAAGTATACATTCAAATTTTTTTATCTCAGCCTGACTTATTCTGAAAATCAAGTTATGGTTTTTGAGTTATCACTAGTGGCATAGATAGAGATGTGGTTTAGAAGTTGTTTTAGAATTTCATCCTGACATTCTACTTTTCCAGAAAGATATTTGGTCAGCTGCAACATATGTTTTTGGGGTGTGTGCCATGCTTAGAATGCCCTTCTTTGATAACCATCACCTTTATTTGTGCTGAGTTACTCTGTAGCCAAGGTCAGACCATGTTGGAGTCTTTCTCTCAGAGGTTAGGAATGTAAATTCAAATATGTAAGCCAGTCTCTGCTTACCCCAGGAGTGAGGATGTGTGAATTCCAGAGTTATGGGTGCTGGGGAAATAGAGCAAGTAATATATTAGAAAGAGCTCACAGTCCAGACAAGCCCAGAAAATCATGGACAGAGAATGTGGAGAGAGAGACTAACTATGAGCAACTGCCATGATTCCTAATGGTTTCCTGGTTCTTGATTCTAATTTTCCATATCACCTAAAGGAATGTCTTGTCTTTGCATTCTTTGAAATGTACTTCTATTCCATGGAGGGGAGGGGGTGCCTCTTTCCTCCCTGTTTGGTCCCGTTTGAATAAAATTCTGTTATTTCTAATCCAAAATGCCTTGATTAAGATTATAGTCCATGAGGAAATGGTCTTGTTCCCGTTTAAGTGGCAGGGAAAGAAAAGTGTGGCTTTGAAACGGAAATTGCTGTAGTGATCAAACCACTACTTGTGTCTGGTGAAATGATGTGCTAAAAAAATGAATCAGATTAAAAAAAAATTTATTTATTCATGCATACAAAAACCAGGGGACAGGCCAGATGCGCAGGAGGGTGAGAGGATCCACCAGCGACAGAGTGGGGAAGAGAACAGGCAGACTGACTGGAATACACTGCAGAGGGGAGCAGCGGGTGAGACAGGAGAGGTCTGCTGCGCCATGTGGGTAGCTCCCTGGCCGGCCTGGACTCAAACCCTTCCTGTCAGAGGCTGTGGACAGCCTCACAGCGCTGCACTCAACCGAATGCGCCACCAGGGGAGGCCCCCCAAAATGAATCAAATCTTGTAGGCTTTTCTTCAGTTACAAAGACAAGAGCAGCAGCATATCAACGGGGAGAGTGGTCAGGAGGGAAGGTCACTGCGTTAATCAAATGTGTTTTCTTCCGAGTTTTCATCAAGGCACTGAAGTCTGAATTCTGGCTGGATCACTTACAATCTCTGTGATCTTAGATAATTTACTTCCTCTCTTTCCAGTTTCCTCTGTAAAACGAGGATGAGGATGTAGGCGAGGACGGCAGAGTCCAGATCCTAGCTGGCTCTGGCCAAGGAGGCGTTACCTTCCCTGCCTGTATAAGGCCTTTGTTCTTCCAGTTTCTCTGGTCCGCGGTGACCTCACCAAGGCAGGAAGAAGCCTGTTTTCGTAGAATTCCACTCTGAATTTACTTTCAGTCTTATTGCCACCCTGTGGATTTCTTGGGTAATGAAAGGCTGAGAAATTTGAGGGGTACAGGAGTCAGGCAGCCTCAGTAGAGATTCTCAATTGCCATCGCGAGCGCCCTCTATCGAGCATTGGCGGGATGAGCACACTCAGCTTCCTGCATGAATGAGCTCATTCATTAATCTGCGTCCTCCCTAATCCTCCCTCTTCCCCAGTTTTCAAACATAAAAACTGAATCCCAAATACCGTGAACTGCAAGCCTGGCCAGTAGTAAATCTAGAAAGAGAATTTTAGGTCTCTTAACTTTCAATTCAACATACTCCCACTTACACAATTGGATAACTGATGCGTGTATTTATAATTAGCTGATGGTTATTGTTTTTCATTATTTATTTTTTATGCAATGGTTGGCTGATCAGTTTGCCTCAGTCGTTATATGGAAAGAATGTAACACGTGGTCCTGTAAGAGGGTGGTCTGAGGGAAAATGGGAGGTTCCGTGTTCTTGGCCCAAGCCAAGGAAGGGTGTTGCTGGGCAGGGAGGAGAGGAAGCTGCAGAGGAGGCTGAGGAAGGAAGGAAGCAGGATGGAGAGCAAGAGGCAGACCTGGAGGAGGCACATGGAGCTGAGAGACATGTGAAGAAACTGTGCTTGCCTGGACTGGTTGAAACAGATGTGGGTGAGAGAGACGTGGGGAGGTTAACAAGGGCAGCTTTTACCTTGATTTTGATTTTGTTCTTTCTGTCCCAGACTCGTCTGGGCTCTTCTGTCCTGTTCCTACAGGTCCCCGCCACGAGGTGCCTTAGATTATGGCAGGCTTTTGGGTCTCAGTGGCCTGCTTTGGGTCAATCCTGCTTGGCTGGGGATTTGATGGGTAAATTTTGGGTGTTTGATTTGGAAACCTTATTCTTCCCCCTTTCTGTATTGCACAAGAATTATATGAAAGTCGCTGTCCATTAAAGGTCTCGTGCACTAAAGTTTTTTTTTTTTAAGATTTTTGTATTCATGCATACAAGAGCTGGGGTGTGGGGGGGGGGAGAGTATTCACCAGAGACATAGTGGGGAACAGAACAGGCAAATCTACTGAAATGCACTGCTGAGGGGAGCAGTGAGTGAGACAAGAGAGGCCTGCTGAGCCATGTGGGTTAGCTCCCTGGCCAGGGATCCAACTCATGCTGTAGTGGCTGCCAAAAATTTTATAACGCTGTGACTTAATCTCTTGTGCTACCAGGGAGGCCCCCACTAAAGCATGTTTTTTGTCTTGATATGCAGATGGCAGAACCTATTTAGAAGGGGCAGGTTTGGGCGTTCTGGGGCACCCCTCATCATACCCTATAACAGTCCTGCTCTTTTCTAGTTTAGTGTCTATTTTCTTCTTTTTTTTTTAAATATCTAAAGTTATGCTTCTTTTTTGTTTTAAAAGTTTTATTTATTTATATAAATAAATATAAATAAATTTATAGTCTGGCCTGGGGTACAGGCCAGAGATGTGGAGAGTAAAGAGGATTCACCAGAGACAGAGTGGGGAACAGAACAGGCAGACTGACTGAAATACACTGCTGAGGGGAGCAGCGGGCAAGACAGGAGAGGTCTGCTGTGCCATGTGGGAATCTCCCTGGCCCGCCAGGAATCGAAACGGCACTGCAGAGGCCGCGTGTGGACAGCTTCACAGTGCTGTGCTTAACCCGCTGCGCCACCAGGGAGGCCCTATTTTCTTCTTTTTAAGCAATTTCCTTGTCATTATTGTTTGGTGGAAGTATTGGAGGATAAAAAGTCTGTCCCTATTTTCTGACGCTCCTCTGTGAATGCCCACCTTTGTGTATTTCTGCTTCCTGAAATGTCCTTCCATTTATCTGATGGTATGCAAATCCTTTCTTCCAGAATCAATCCAAGTTCCACCTACTTCTTCTGAGACTTTGAGGCCATAGTGTTTCATATACCTATTTGGGGGTTCACAGCACTCATGTAAGTTGTTGCGACATGCATGTTATTTCATAACTAGACTGTGATCCCTCTGAAAGCAGAGGCTATGTCTTAATTGTCTTGACCACTTGAATTGCTGACACACACATGATTAATACTTATTTCTTGACCCATTGGGGACATCCCTACTTTCATTTCCCTTTGCTATCATGTTTGTATCTGCAGTGCTGGCAACCAGGTGGAGGGTGGGAAGACAGAGGCCTGGGAGGCCTGGAGGCTCAAAGGCCTCCCAGCCCCTGGTGAATCTTTACCCTTTCTCTTCAGGCTCTCTCTGGCATTGTCTCATGGTCTCTTCCTTTCGGAGCCATCACTCCTCACTCAGCCTCTCACAGCCACTCAGCAGTAGCCATTTTTGTCACTGAGGGGCCCCGCTCTTATAGTATCAGCCTCCCGGCTCAGGTGCACACACTTACACATGCCCACACCATACTCCAGTGTCCACCATCAGGCATGTATGCCCCAAGCCCACCCTCCCAAGCGCCTCCTGCATTCAAGGCTGCAGGTGATAGCCACAGAGGCCAGCCGTGCCAAAGCCTGAGCAATCCACTTACCCTATAGCATCTTTCCAAGGAAACAGAAAACACCATGATTTATTTAAGTAGTTACAAATTATTGTCCTTTTTTCATTGACTTTGATGTTTACAGCCTGTTTCCTCATTTGAGTGTGTGTGTGTGTGTGTGTGTGTGTGTGTTTTTCTCATAATTTCTAGTTCCAAGCAATTTACCTATGGATATTTTGGGGAATTCTCCTCTGGATTTTCTGTTTTGCATTTTAGAAGTGGAAAGAAAGAAATGTCAGGGCCAAAATGAAATCCTTCAAGTCAAATCCCACCAAGTCTCAATACTTCCCCTAAGTGTACTTTCAGCCTCTTACAGTAAAGTTTAAGCAAAGTCATCTGAAGTTTCCTAATCAGCACTCTGGTATATTGTGCTTGATGAGAACCCCCCTCCTGCCTTCCTGTGAGGGGAGGTAACTTGGCTTGAAATAATCTTTTTTTTGCTAAAGACCTTGACACACCTTTTTGACTATGAAAACTTTAATTTTGTTCTACTTCTTACAGTGCCTTTGTACTTGCTAGATGGGATGTGTTCATGAATTCTTTAATAAAGCTAATTAGATCTTTAAATTTACGGAGTTGGACTTTTTTTTTTTAAGATTTATTTATTTATTTATACAAGAACAGGGGTACAGGCCAGATGCGCAGGAGGGTGAGAGGATTCACCAAAGACAGAGCAGGGAACGAACAGGCAGACCAATGAAATACAGTGCTGAGGGGAGCAGCGGGTGAGACAAGAGAGGTCTGCCACACCATGTGGGACCCTTGCCAGCCGGCTGGGATCGAACTGGTGCTGCAGAGGCTGAGGACAGCTTCACAGCGAGGCCGCTCAACTGCCTGTGCCAGCAGGGCAGGCCCTGGACTTTGTTTTTTAAGAGAGGCAACTGACAGTAGCTCTATAAGCCGAATACTCAGGCCGAGGGTTTGAGGATTAGATGTTGCAAACACGTTTGAAGGCGGGTTTGTGGTTAGGATTCTCAGCAGAGATTATTTTCCCTACCTCCGCCCCTCATTTCTAAGGTTGAAACCTATAATCAATTTGTTCTCTTTTCCCAGGAGAGGAGGTTTTTTTTTTTTTTTTAATTGTTTGTTTGTTACAGTGCACTCTGACAATGAGAGACTTGCCTTTTTGACTTCCAGAAGCATATGTGTGGGGAAGAGGGCATGGTTTCTATTAGTCTCCAGGTTTTCATTAGTGAACTTGAGTGCTTGCTTCGTGTTTATCTCTCCTTTTTCTTTTTTTTTTTTCAAAGTTTGCCTAGACTTTACTGATTTTTTTTTTTAGAGGCATGTTTTATTTATTTATTTATTTGTTTGTTTGTTTTGTTTATACAAGCACTGTGTACAGTCAGAAGCGTGGGAGGGTGAGAGAATTCACCAGAGCCAGAGCGGGGAGCAGAGCAGGCAGAAGGACCGAAGTACACTGCTGAGGGGAGCAGCGGGAGGCAGGAGAGGTCTGCGCGCCATGTGGGACCCTCCTCTGGTGGCCGGGGAGCAGCCGGGGATCGAACCGGCGCCACAGAGGCCACGGGCAGCTTCGCAACCCAGCGCCCAACCGCTGCGCCACCAGGGAGGCCCCTCTCTCCTTTTTCTTTTAGATTTATTTATTTATGCATACAAGAACTGGGGTACAGGCCAGAGGTGTGGGGGGTGAGAAGATTCACCAGAGACAGAGTGGGGAACAAAACAGGAGAATTGACCAAAACACACTGCTGAGGGGAGCAGCGGGCGAGTCAGGAGAGGTCTGCTGCACCATGTGGGTTGCTCCCTGTCCAGGGATTGAACTCGTGCTGCAGGGGCTGCGGACAGATACGTTGTATCTTAACCCCTTGCACCACCAGGGAGGCCCTAATTTTTTTCTTATTGCTATTCTGTTAATATTTGGTGCTCTCTCTAATGAAATCCTTCCCCCTTGTGTTTTATTAGTGTGGCTTGGACAGAAAGAGAAATCCTCTTTCCCTGATTGTGAGAAGTTTAATATTTACTGCTGAGTCCTCCAATGCTGGAGTAAAGAGGGTTTGGAATCCACTAGTACAGAATCTTACAGTCATTCCTGTAAGGATTTTCACGATCCTCTTGGGTGTCATTGACCACCTGGAATACTGTATTGCCTCTGTGACCCAGTTATTCATACTAACTTCTCCAGACTGAAGGCAGATGTTGAAATGTGCACTGCTGAATGAATGTCTGTGACTGTGTGTCAGTGTGTGAGTGTGTATGTGAGAGTGTGTGAATGTTTGTGTGTGTGCATGTGTGTGTATGTGAGTGTATGAGTTTGAAACTTGTGAGTGCATGTGTGAGTGTTCATGTGCGCATGTGCACACTCATGTGTGTGTGTGTGTGTGTGTGTGTGTTTGTGTTTGCATAGGAGTTGTGGAAGCAGGACCAACCTGTTCGACTGCTTTACATTCCATCTCTAAGCTGTCATCCTAATAATTGTCCTGGCTCCATTTTCCTCTTTATTTTCATTAATTGTGACTTAGAAGAGTCTTAAGAACTAATTTTGCCCATATCCTCCATCTTATCTGGTGACTAGTTTTTCACCAAAGTTCCTTCTTCAATTTCATCCTGTCAGATTTCTATCTTTCAGACATACATAAACATTTCTGACTTGCTTTCTATGGACATTCTTTCTCTTTTCAATAGGGTTAAGATTTTACTCATTTTATCATTTATTTTCAAAATTTGTGATAAGATGAAGTTTTCTGCATTTGCCTATTTGATTATTAACCCACTTAACACCCACTAAATACCTAATTAGTAATTAGTAATATCCACTTACTTAGTTTTCTTAGTTCTAGCTATTATTGGTTCAACTGCTAGTAAACACTTGTATTTATTCAGCAATTTCTGACCAATACATAGAACTGAGAAACACTCAATTGAATAATTATTCTGTCAACCTATATAAATTGACATCATCTTGCATTTTCCAAAAAAATTCAAAAATCATATCACCAAATCCTCTCACAAGTCTGACAAAATAATTGTAATTTCAAGTGGAGAAAAATATGTCCAAGGATTAACAAAGATTCACACTATTATTATGCAGCAGAGAAAGACTCAATGTCCAAGGCACCATATCTTAACAACAAGAAATCTGTAGACTGACATAGTGGGTTTAAATTTCATCTC